TCTACTGAAACACAAAAATTTCTAGACATCGGCCTCTAATATTTAAAACAATCTAGACAAACTTTTAAAATAACTTTGCAGCATAAAAAGGAGACTGTTTTAGGAAGTAAAGAAAAAACATTGTCGATACATTTTAGTTGTATTACTTTTACGTATGAAATACTTTAATTTTCGTCTAACACAACATTATTAAAATGCTGACCTGATTTTTGTTCGATGACCCGTGCTTGTTGGAGAATATCTTTCATTTTTGTTTCTAGTTGATCGACGCCTTCAATTTGATAATCAATTTTAACCGGTGGCTTTAGTTCTTCTAGTTTTTTTGTAAGCTGTTCCAAATAGTCTGTTAATTTTTTATCAGCTTCCAATAAATGTGTATGATCTTTGGTCGAAAGAATTTTTTCAAAGCCTTCATTATACTTGGAAAGTGTTGTTTGTTTATTGTTTAATGATGTTATATAACTTTCAACTAATGCCGTATTTGTTTCCTCGATTGAGCTAATTTCATTTTTTAATTTTTTCTCATAATCATCAATCATCCTACGCAGAGCAGCGAAAACTCGCGTTATTGATTGTGTGCCAGTATTGTTATTTCGATTTTTCAAGAGCATTCCTTGCTCTCTTATTCGACTCAAAGATTGTTGTGCTTCTTTGAATCCAGTGCTCAACTTTACAATAAAAAAAGCAGTCATTTTATGGAATCGATGAAAACATGACGGAATACAGACCTTTTCAGTTACTTCTTCTACCATCTCATCTATCAAAACAATCGTATGATCTTTGTGTTTCTTGGAAATTTGGCAATCGCGACATATCGTTGTCCCACAACTGCATAGATACCTAAGATTCTCTTCTTTATGGACAGGACATCGCTTAGGTGCAGCCGTTTTGTCCTTAATGGGTACCGGCCGATGTTGTGCAAATACGAGTTGTTTATGAAGATCGGTGCAGCATTTGCCACACAAGTCGGCACCGCAATCCTTGCACCAGAAATCAGCAATTTCTAATAAACAGTTACCGCATTGGCGCCGTGCTAAAATGTAAATAGCAAAGTTGAAAATGGTTGTTCAAAAGAAGTTAGAGTTCTTATTAAAACAGAATAAAATGCAACATGGCACTCTGTATTCGGATCAACTGACCTGAATACTTATACTATTAATAAAATTTCGAAGTGGTCTAAGGAGTTTATATTAAATTTTGACAAAATCTATACTTACATCCTTCTCTGTTTTGGTCGTTTGCACCCATAAGACTTGGTAAAACATCGACCATGTCGCGTACATTTCTATTGATTGGTAGGGAATCAATATTTTTTGTACCAATTCTGGTACCATCGCGCAATGGACAATCGAATTGGCCGCCATTACTAGCAGCTGTCTGACGAATGCATCGAAGACAATATGTATGAGAGCATGGTAATATGCGTGGATCATCAAAATAGCCCAGGCAAAGGGCACAAGTGATCAAATCTTCAGCCTGCTGTTTATGTTGTCCAAGTGATGATTTCGATGCCATGTACTCTAGTAATCTTCTAATAAATAGATAATGAAATGATGAAAAGTATTTGTAATCTAAAATTAAAAGAAGTACAAGTACCCATATAAGACCTCGTAAGATTCAGACAAGAAGATCTATGAAGATATATAGGCATCAGTTATGGGTAGGTTCTGAATTATTTATTAATACTATTCACGATGGAATATCGATAGAAATATATATCTCGTGTAATCAACAATAGTCGATGAATTTCGGACATAAAGTCATGCTCTATTTAAAGACTCGACACCGTAGACAAACAAGTTACTGACATAGAGATAGACTTTTTTCAAAAGCACTTCTTATCTAATGAATCATAGTAACGTCCAACAGCCAACATTGCAGTGATTCTTTCATAAATAACGGTAATTTCCAAGTATATACGTTTTAGTCATCCTCTGGTTTTTTCCCACTTACGAAATTATACTATTTGTTTTCACAAAGATATGTATTAATACAAAGAGGAAATATATTTTAAAACTTACTTGACTAAAATGACAGTGTATTTCTTACTTTGCAAAACTTAGAGTAATAAACCCTATAGAAGAATTTATTGTATGCTTCATTTTCATAAGCCCTTGCATCACTACACACAGATAATAAAATTCCCAAGGATTGGTCGTTTTTTTCATTAATGCTTGAAAGATTGATTATCTTTATATGTGGGCAAGGGTTTTGTGAAGATGTGATGCACACTAAACCCTGTTGTACGACTTATTATTCTACGTGTTTTTTCAAAGCGATTTCGCAGCAAGAAAAAAATATGAATAAAAAAAGAATTTTTGTTGACGCAAAATACGTGGTGCTTCGAACAAGAAGAAAAAGAAAAAGAAATATGCAACAACTTAATTCAAAAAAAAATTGATGGCTGCCTACGAAATCTGCATCGACATTCGACAAATATTTACCTGCTTTGAAGTAGCTGATAAGCTTCACATCAAACAAAGGCAATGTTTTCTGGGACTCGAATTGATGCCCACATTCAAACATTGGTCTAGGCAACCAATAAAGCAAAAAAAATACAGTGTGGGTGTGGGTGTGGGTGTCGGTGTTGGCGAAGAGAAGATTGCACCTACACCCGCACGCCCATCTACACCCGCATCTACACCCCACACCCACACCCTGTTTCCAGGCTTTTTCAGGGTGAAACAGGATCCTATTGAGGATTTCTTCAAGTTCCTGCTCAGATATTTCCTTGAGTTGAGAATACAGGATCCTACCAGGATTGACTCAAGATTCTATTGAGAATCCTCTCAAGATTATGAACGAGGATTCTGCCAGAATTTTATAAAGTTCTCGTCAGGATCTAGGTCAAATTTTCGTATAAGGATCCTATCAGGAGTGATAGTCACATCTGACGAGGATCCTAGCAAGAAAATAATAACATCAGTCAGAATACGAAACTGACTAATCCTGAAAAGTTTCAATCAGGATCTTCTTCAGAACTTTTCAAGAATATGCGTGTCAGACTTTGCAAAACATTATCAATTCTAATCAGAATCTTGATAAAAAAAAATATAAGGATTTAGGAAAGATCTTTGCAGGTTAGTGTTTAGTGAACTCAGCCATGTTCATTTCGTGAGAAAACCTAGAAGGATCTTTCAGAATCGTAAATTTCAAGGATTCTGTCAAGTTTGATCCAGGATTCTATCCAGGAATTGTTCAAGTTCTTGCTCGGATTTTTTTCTGAATTGAGTTTGTAGGATCCTGCTATGATCCGCTGACATATCTATCTATTGTCCGAAAAAAAATAAAAGGCGAGTGACCATTTTTTGAATAACTTTTGATAGGAACAAGATAGAGCTGCGGTTTTGACCAGTTGAAAGAGCAATGTCCGGGCCATCGATCGGCATAGAACACATTAAGATGAAAGATGATTTTTTATAGGTATCTTGGAATGAACAATTTTTCCTTTGAGTATTTTCATCAATTTTCACAATAATCTTAACTCGAATTATGTCAAAATGTAGCTAAAATGGCCCGTTTTTCGCTATAAAATTAATATTGGTTTTCTTCAAATCCGCTTAGAATAATAGGTTGAGAGATAATGAAATATATGATAATTTTATAGAGAGAAACGGGTGATATGAGCTACATTT